AACTCAGTTTGATAATAAGGAGGTAGAAGAGGGGAACTCATTTAACTACATTAAGTACTATATATGCCTGTATATGGATATATTCAATATCTACTGGATATTCCTGTACAGTGCTGAACTGAATGTAGCAAGGATATTGATCTTATTAAAGCTTTCACAAATACAAACATAAAGGTGAAAATGGGAAGTTAAAAATCAAGATTTCCAGTCATAGAGAAACTGTATTTCTTTATATTTTTGTTAGATGTGACTCCAAAATTACAATGAAATGAAATAGGCATGAGCATAACACATTTCTTTATCTACTGCTCTCAGTATGATTAAATACAAAACTCCTTTCAATTGTCTAGTGTCAGTGATTTTATTTAGTACGAGGTTTCTACCTTAAAACTGAAAACAGAAGCCTTTCCTTAACTTCTAGGTGGTAGCTAATATTAAACTGATTCAACATATTTTGGGGCCACCGCTAAAATTTCATCCATATACATTCAAAAAAAATAGCCAATAAATTTAAAAAAAAATACCTCATTTTCTGCTCGGAGTGCTGAAAATTCACTCTTTTCCAAAATAATCATATCCTTTTTTACAACACCAATATGAGACATTATCTGCTGAACAGCAATTTCCTTTGGAGCAAGAGAAAAAGAGTTTCTTAAGGCCATCAGTACATCCAGTGCTGGGATATCATCCTCAATGTTCATTCTAGCTATAATATCTATGCAATATTATGTAGATTATATGATATATAATTTAATATATGATTAAGCAAATATAGGCACAGTACCTGCATGCAGAGAAGTCCCACTAGACTTAAATTTAAAAAAAAATCTTTACTTATCCTGCCCAGTTTCCATGGTACAAAAAAGGAATGCTAGATGAGATCATATACAGTAAGGTAGTTTAGAGATTTTATGATGCAGAACTATTTAAGCTATGAACAGACCATTAAGTTCCTGCAGTGTACATGTTTGCACAACTCTTTGCCTATTATAATTGTTTGAGATTCAAAGGCAAAAATGTCTTGGCACCTGCTGAGGTGCTCACATGACCTGTCTGTTACTACTTAAAATAGTTCTGTCTTTTCTTGGGAATGGCGGGTGCCTTCTGCAGTTGTAGTGTGATCCCCAAAAATGTTTATTTGATTTGAAGAGTTGTAAGATAGATGCCATATGCATGTCCCCACACTCACCTTGGACTCATGAAGAAGCACTAACTTTGAAGGTAAATATAAGAATCCATGCAAAATAAGGCCATATCAGCAAATAATGAATGCTTTTGCATGGTTTATGAATAGACAGAGATCAGAGTATCCTATTGTATAGCACAGACATATTTTATATATTTACTTACATATTTTTATATATTTACTTACATATTTTATATATTTACATTTTATGTTAGTAGCACTATCAAAACCAGTTATTATAACTAAATTTCTATAGCTTTAAATGGATTTAATCTGAGTCCACCCTGATAAATATTATTATATATTAAATACATTCTCAACCTGTTGCATTTTGGTGACCATGTCTTTGTGTATCATATCCATATTGCTCTTCATAATGTTCATTAAAGCAGACACAATGATCTCAGATTGCTGAGTGGTGAATCCTAAAACAATATAAAACATTATTATTTGCTACATACACATTGATTCAACAAGCATAATCATAAAAACAAGAGTTTCAATAATAATTTGGGGAGGGAGAAAAAATCCATCACTTCCTATATATAAATATCATTAAAGATTATGTAACACTTAATAATGAGGCAGA